CCCCCCCAAAAAAATTGCCTCTCATAGATAGTCCTATTGTTGACAGAAACTGAGCCAAAATTATTGCACAAAAACAGAAATTAAAAAATTGATTGATAATAATAATAATAATAATAATAATAATAATATTAATAATAAAATTTTTTATAGCACGACTTTCCATGAAATGATCAAGTGCACTTTACATCAGTAAAAGTTAACTAATCCGAAAAGATATAAATTTACGATGGTTGTTAAAAAAAATACAAAAAAACATGTTAAAAATAGATAAAAATTCAATAAAAATTCATTCAAGAGCTAATTATTTTGATATCAGTAAAAAGCTAACCTAAAATAATGTGTCTTTAACAGCTGTTTAAACCGATTGATACTTCGTTTCCAATTTTTAATAGCAGTCCATCCATATCATCGGCGCTGCTACCGCAAATGTCCGATCTTTCGTTTTCCCTCCAGGCGCTAATAGCAACATACCGTCGTTTGATCGCAGGCTGTAACCAGGTTTTTCCTTGACATGCACTAGATCACCAAGATATTTCGGTGCAAGGGCATATAAATACAAGAAGGGCCAGTTTGTATTCTATTCTATATCTGACCGGTAGCCAACGTAGATGAACTGACTGAGCAGCTAAACAATAGACATTTTAAAACAGGACGTTGACCAGAGCTTATTTAATGACTTTATTTTCGGCAACAGGAAAAAAGATTATAAAGCGTATGTAACATAATTTCTAGATCTCCTTAGTAATTATATGACGGAGGATCATTGTTTCTCATTCATGAGAAGAGTGTAAAATGGGGTTAAAATTTGCGCCTTTTATAAAGAATCACATGAAACCGACAAATCAGCAATAAAACTCATCGGGATTTTGGCCGAGGTCAAAGATCCGATGACCATGGGGACTGCTATAATAACAAATATTTTAAAAGCTGTTTAACACCTCTAAAAGGCCAAAGGGAAACAGATAAAAATGTCACAACTCATTTAGGCGATGGTGTTGATCGAAGTTGACCAGTTCATCAAGTTGTTAGCCTACATTTCTCTCTAGGAAAATTTCCGCTAAGCATAATGAAAGGATTTTCACGTAATGGAAAACAGCTGTGATGAAATAATGCGTTCAACTCAAAAAGCGATTGCTTCGTAAAAGCGAAATTCCAAATATAACCTTGTTTACGAAATTTTTATAAGCGTGCTCGGATTGCAGCGTGTCCATCGAAGATATCCCGGAATGAAACGCAGCAAAAAGAGGCGAAAAAGACAAACAAACCTACCTAACCACTGGATAATACCATAGCTTAGATCTCCTGAATCCTAAGCATCTTTTGTCCCCTTATCTTGCAGCTAGAACACGCTATTACTGAACAAATAGTTCCTCAATTTCCAGCGTGTATACACAGAAGTTCTTTGAATACCAAGGTTGCTTGAAATACTGTTAGTATCCAGACCCTCACTGTTCTTGAGTAGAAAAGTCTTCAGAAGGAACGCAATTCTTTTACAAACCTTTTTGGCGGAAAGCCGATGGATTCGCTAAGAACTTTCCCTAAAAATAAATACTATGGGGATACCAAAATATATGAACTGAGACATTTTGATAAACATGATAAATAAACGATTGAAAAGTCAATCATGCCGACAAAAACCCCACTTTGCATAACAATACCTATAGCTAATCTGCCTTGCAAACAACATCGTGTTCATGAAAATTAAGCATGATAATAGAAATAAAGAAAAACAGATTAATTAAAAAGACTCATAGTAAGATCAACAAAGATAGCTCGACAAATTTAGAACGCCCAAGTTGTTGTTGTTGTTGTTGTTTGTTTGTTTGTTTGTTTGTTTCTCTGTTGGATGGAAAATACAGTTTGGCAGGAGCGCGGCATGGGAGTACACCAGCAATTTTTTACGGGATTCGGGACATATAACCATGGCAGAATCGAAGCAGGATTTGTTATATTTTGTCGCTGCCGGGGATGCAGAAAAATCGGAATTTCTTCACAAAGTCTAAGACAAAGTAGAATCCCGATATGACGGACAAGGAACCC